TTGGCCCTCCACACAAGGCCTTACATGGTCCAGACCCTACATCCTCAGCCATGTAGGCCCTGATGATTCTGTTACTCTTTGCCTCTGCCCCCATATTAATACCATTGCCACCATTAAATTCCACTTAGAACTCTTTTAAATCCTAAATAGAGTCTGGGAAATTGATTCTGAATTTTTAAACATGCTATTCACTCTACATGAAATATACCTTCCTCCAACTTAAATTTGATTAGAAATATCATACCATTTTTCATTATCATCAATGAAACTGAAAAGGACAATGCTACACGAAATCGAGATCAATGGTAGGCGCTTCAATAGTTGTTCTGAGAACTGCATTTACTCTATCCCTTCTCCATATGCCATTTTTTCCAAGTGTTTGCTGTGTAGAGACAGTCCACAGTAATGTTGGCCAGTGGCAGTGGTTGTTCCACTTTCCAATCATAAGGCTGACCTCAAGCCCCTTCTTCTTACCTAAGTTCAGAAATACTTGGGAACTAAAGATCAAAATGTCAACTTTATTTCTGACAAAAGCTTGGTTGGAGACAGTAGATAGATCTCTGGATACCACTGGAGGGAAGATTTAGGACTACAGAACCAAGAACTTCTGCCTTGCATGTTTCAGGGTCAACACAACAGCAGATGGAAGAAAAGAATTCATATTCTGATGTAGTAGTCTTTTAGTAGCTTGACTCGCCCCAATTTATAAAATGAACAAAAGCGGTCTCTAAGGAGGGTCTGCTCTATAGACAGTCTGGAGCTGCCCCTCTGTGGAACTGTTAAGCAAGAAAAGTCGATCTTCTAAGCTCTGAAATGTATTTTTCAATATCTATGCAAATGGTGACTTGCCTGTAGTCAGAGTTCCTGTTAACAGAGTGCATTACGTTCTGCTCTGGGCCAGTTGGTCTATGCTGATGGCTTGTTTCTCATAAAAGATGCTGTTTTTACAGGAGAGAGTAAAATACGGCAGTTAAAATTTCAACTGTTAATAGGATAATAAAAAGCTCTTTCCTTTTTTAACGAAGTTTTTATTGATGTAATTGTAGGTTCACATGTAATTGTGACAAATAACATAGAGCAATCCTTATACAATTTGCCTTACTGTTTTTCCAGTTTAGTTTCTCTCTCATGCAGACTGGCTGAGTCCTACTGTGTCCTCAAGTTCACCACTTTTATCCTGTGTCATCTCTACTCTTCTCTTGAGCCCATCCAGTGAATGATTCATTGGTGCTGTTGTATCCTCAAGTTCTATCATCTCCATTTTTAAAATAATTTTATTTCCCTGCTGAAACTTACTATTTTTCCATTTATTACAAGAGAATTTATAATCAATTGCTGAATCATTTTTATGATGACTGCTCTAAAATTCTGGTCAGATAATTTCAATTCTGATTTATTTCCATGGATGTTGCCATCTGCTGCTTCCCTTCTCTCATTCAAGTTGTGATTTTCCTGGTTCCTGGGACAATGGAAACAGTGAGAGACTTTAATTTTGGAGGCTCCAAAATCACTGCAGATGGTGACTGCAGCCATGAAATTAAAAGGTGCTTGCTCCTTGGAAGAAAAGTTATGATCAACCTAGACAGCATACTAAAAAGCAGAGACATTACTTTACCAACAAAGGTCTGTCTAGTCAAAGCTATGGTTTTTCTAGTAGTCATGTATGGATGTGAGAGTTGGACTATAAAGAAAGCTGTGTGCCAAAGAATTGATGCTTTTGAACTGTGGTGTTAGAGAAAACTCTTGAGAGTCCCTTGGACTGCAAGGAGATCCAACCAATCAATCCTACAGGAAATCAGTCCTGAATATTCATTGGAAGGACTGATGCTGAAGCTGAAACTTCAATACTTTGGCCACCTGATGCAAAGAACTGACTCAGAAAAGACCCTGATGCTGGGAAAGATTGAAGGCAGGAGGAGAAGGGGACGACAGAGGATGAGATGGTTGGATGGTATCACCGACATGATGGACATGAGTTTGAGTAGGCTCCAGGAATTGGTGATGGACAGGGAAACCTGGCATGCTGCAATCCACGGGGTCGCAAAGAGTCAGACACGACTGAGTGACTGAACTGAACTGAACTGAACCGGGATGACACGATTTCAAGCTGTAATGTGGACATTTTGTCTATTTTTTTTCTTTTTTTTTCCATTTATTTCATTTTGTCTATTATGATAGAACTCTGGGTTCCATAAAAATCTTCCGTTTTAACAGGCAGTCATCCATTTAGGTGTCATATACAGGTCTTGGATGACTTTGTGGGTTGTGGTTTCAATGGCAGTTTAATTTTCAGAGCCTTTGTGGTGTTCCTTTGGTCTGCTCGGTTTATGCTGATGTTGTCAGCAGCACTCGTTTTCCACCCGAGGGAAGAAAAACTCCACCTGAGCTGCATTCTCCTGTTAGGTCAGGGATTAGGATACAATGGGTCTGGGTCATCTGCCCCTGTCAGGGGAGACCCTGCAATCATTTTGTTCCTGAGTCCTGAGAAAACCATCTCACCTTCCTCTTACAAGCTTGTGCTCTTTCAAGGGTTTATATTTCTGTCGAGTGGGGAGGAGCAAGGAGAAACTCTTCTATACCATCTTGCCCTAACTCAAAGCCACTCTATTTCATTTTAAGAATGAAAAAAGCACAATTTAAACAAATAATTCCATTTTTTTTTCTGTGAGTCAGTTTCAATCTGCCACGGAGAAGGGGCAACATTATTTAGCCTTGCTGGTTTTGCCCCTTTTCCTCCTCAGCAGTTCCTTCTTTTCCAGTCTCCATCTCCCCTGACTTACCTCCCCGCCTTTATTCCTTCCATCTGTCAAGGTATAAGTTTGAAGTGATTTTTAAACAGGAGAAACCAGTGGTATCGAATGTAAGCATGGGCACACACACACACATACAAAACAGCTTCTGTGTTAGGTTAAACACAAAGGCAGCTATGAAACAGGGAGTTTTAGGTACCAGCAGATTTGTAGTACTATTAAATGAATTCTGTGATTTCCAATAAGAAGAGATCTGACATTTATTCACTTAATTTTAGTGACTGATGAGGTTATATGTTTCAACATTCTTGGAGGTTATTTGTATTTAATAGGGATCAAAGTGAAACACAACAGACCCCTGAAGGCACCATTTCAGAGAGCAAAGAAGTGAGGATGTTATTTCACAACAGTGAGTTTTCAAAGATGGTAGAGGATAATTTGGTGTATTTGTACCTTGAAGGAAGTTATGGTATGTTTAAAGACTGGATTCTAAAATTATCACTGCTTTGTTATGTTTTTAATCATAATATTTAATTTAGTTTGAACTTTCAAAAAGTTTAAGTCCTTCAGAGTTTAGATGTTTAGGTGTGGTCAAAACCAAGATTGAGAGACATTGTTCTAGAGAATGAAGGGGAACAGACTATCTTCCTATGGGACTGACCACGAATTAGGCTGTAAAGTGTGGGCTCCTGTCCGTTGAGTGTAAGCTGTGGTGTGTGTTTTCCAGCTCTCTATAGATGTGGACTCAACATCCGTCCTTGTGGACACTTTCATCTAATACTCTGGCATCTTTCCTTCAAATCCACCTTCTCTCCCTCTTAATAGGTGTTATGCAGGTGTCTTACCATTGTTAAGCAACGGTTAAATGCTTAAAAGACTTATAGAAAAATACTATGAGAGGAACTTAGCTCCTTAAAAACCTCATTTCTTTCTTTCTATCCCTATTGGGCTAAGGAGATTCAGTTTAGTTAGGCCAGAGTCACACGTACATGTTGTTGTTGCTGCTCAGTTGGTTAAGTCATGTCTGAATCTTCGTAACCCATGGACTGCAGCACATCAGGCCTCCCTGTCCTTCACTGTCTCCCAGAGTTTGCTCAAACTCCTGTCCATCGAGTTGGTGATGCCATCCAACCATGTCATCCTGTGTCATCCCCTTCTCCTCCTGCCTTCAATCTTTCCCGGCATCAAGGGTCTTTGCCAATGAGCCAGCTCTTCACATCAGGTGGCCACAGTACTGGAGCTTCAGCTTCAGCATCAGTTCTTACAATGAATTTCCTTTAGGATCAACAGGATTGATTTCCTTTAGGATTGACTGGTTTGATCTCCATGCTGTCCAAGGGATGCTCAGTCTTCTCCACCTCCAAAGTTCAAAACCATCAATTCTTCATTGCTCAGCCTTCTTTGAGGTCCAACTCTCACATCTGTATACAATTACTGGAAAAACCATAGCTTTGACTATACAGACCTATGTGAGATGAGGCAGATGTTTATTTATACCATTATATCTTACTGCCTCACTGCTCATGAGTTTTTTTAAACTATTTTTTAAAAATTATAAAAAGGATTAAGGCCATATTTTGCAAAGCAATCAATACTGGCAAGAGAAGAATTTATTTATTTAACAGGATACAAATGTGCAATTTTATTCTAAAAACTTAACTCATTTATATTTTTCACTTTTTTTGTATTAGAAGCATTCATCCCTCTTTAACAGGGCACTCACCTCCCTAGTCTACACCCTAGGAGAAAAACAAATGATTTCTCTCATCATACAGACAATGTTAAAGGGAGTTTTTCCTGCACTCGTTGAAAGAGAAAAGTTTTTCTTATGGCTTATGATTTGTGCTCTGGATGTATGGTCCCCTGAAGTCTAGAAGGAAATAAAAGAAGAGATAGTTTTTGTGTGGAGGGATAAACAAGGTGTGGCGGTGGGTCTGGAGGTGGAGAAATTAACTGAGGTGACTGATAAATACAAGTGACCTCACTGTAGCGCACTTGTTCTAGAAGGCACTGTCTCATAACCCAGGACATGTGCAGTGAGTGAACCAAGAGGAGGATAGCTGTAAAGGAAACATGCTAAAAGGTCCATGATCCACAGTGTCTTGGAGGCATTACTCATAATGCAGGCCATGCAGCCTTTGCCAGTTGGGATTCTAGTTTGCACCAGATGGAAACCCTGTTCATGTCCTACCAGTACATCACCAGCTAATTTTCCCACAGCGGTAGCATTCCCTTATGCCATGAGACTTTATGCTGTCCCCATCCGATGATGCCCATGTGTGCACCTCTAGACAGCGCCATGGACTTCTGAAAGATGAATTTCTACAGCAGGACGTGGATGAGTATGGACCCTATTTAGCCCATGTTCGGTGTGAAGATGTTAAAACGTCTAGGCTTTCCATAGGCTGTAAGTGGCACTGATTATGAAGTTTCACCATCACTCTTACAGGGCAGAGACAGAAACAGTGGTGGTGTCAAAGGCTGCTTGTGCCTTAGCAGGGCTGGGATTGGGACAGGAAACAGAATCGGCAAACACAGGAGGAAAAGAGCCCAGATCTGGACTTAATGTCGACTCTGAGCACCTGACCTTGCCTGAGAGCTATTTCCTGATCTCCAAGGTAAGAAATTTCTGATGCTGTTCAGTTGGGAGGAAGACCTGTACTTCAAGGACGCCTGGACTCATACCAGCCTCAGTCAGTCTAACGTGATGTCTGCCCTTTGGGGTAACTCTATTTCCCTTGCCAGCGATTGGTTTGAGAAGGAGCCTACAACATATTTCTAGCTAATTAGAGATGAGGGTTACACCACAAGGACGTCTAGAAATTCTTCCTTTCTTTTAAAAAGAGAGATCTTTGGAAGAAATAAGTTCCCTTCTTCCATTTCCTCCATCTTGATATATATTCAGGTTGACATGCTGGGGACTGTTGCTGTCATCTCATGACCATGCTGAGAAAGCAAGAAATATAAAAAGAATTTAAGCTGGAGCAATAATGAAGTCAAGCCACTGATTTCACCCACTCTGAAATGGCCCCATTTTTAGTTCTAACATTGATAAGAGAATAAGTCTTTCTTAGTGTTTAAGCCAATTTTAGTTGAATTTTCTGTTACCTCCAGCCAAAAGCATGCCAAATGAATTCATTATTGATGAGAAAACAAATCCTTTGCATCATTTAATGAACTCCATATAGATTTATGATCAGCTAAGGGTAGCAGGCTCTTCTGTCTGGTAGTGGACTATCTCTCCACCCTCTTCCAGGTGGTTCATAGACGACACTCTATGAAAGAATCTTTCCGTAATCACCAAGTACTTTTTCTTTCACTGCAGTCAATATAGGGAATAAAACTGAGGAAAGGACTCTCCACTCTGAAATAGATTCTGAATTTATAAAATATTATATAAGAAAGTAAAAGGTGCATACATGCAAATTAAAACCAGAAGACAGAAATACTCACTTTCAGAAATGCAAACACAAAATCAAAGAAGTGATAGGGGCTTAAGTGAAAATGTGTTAGGGTCTTATGAGAAGCAGGTACAGGTTCTAGTAGCTGTATTTGAGGGTTTGGATGCCTGTGCAGAGAAGGTAGTGTAGGGCACAGATGCTAGTCACACACGAAACTAGAGTTTCAATATCTGCAACAAGTCAGCATTCACAGGGACAGGCAGACACCATCCCTGCCAGGTGGGGGAAGGAGCAAGGAAGCCTGCCTTATACAGGATTGAGTTTAGAAGAAAATAACCCAATAAGTTCAAACCCATTATCACATGAATGAGGAGGTCCAAATTCATGTCATCAGTGTGTTTCTAAATGAGAAATTAACAAAAAAACGGACCTAGAATGACTGAAATCCATGAATTCTAAGAAGAATTCAGCCTAACCCAATTAGGAGAATCCCACAGTTCAGGAAACTGGGGAATTAAATCTCAGCTAAAGATGAGCACCCAATGACGATTCCATGGAAGGAAGTGAATTACTGGGATGCAGAATAAGATTGTGCAACATAAAGAAAAATTTGTACATTAAGAACAAGAAATAATGGACCTGTCTAAAAGAGGTTTTAAATAATTATTTTTAAATGTTTACATAGGTAAAGTGAAAACAGAGATAAAGCAAGCACAAAACAGTATAAAAAACAGATTCGCAAAATGAGAAAGCATACAATGGAAATCTTTAAATGATCATCATAAAATTATCACAATTTTTAAAAATCAATTAGCTGGTTGAACAACAGTACAAATACATACAGAAAAATAATGTATATATTGGAACACAGATCTAAGGAACTGACCTAGAGTGTGGAAGAGAAAAACAAGAGAAGTTGAGGCGTGTAAAACAGGAAGATAGGGTCTAATATATGCTTGATAGGAGTTCTAGGATAAAGTAAAATGAATGTGGGAGACCTAAAGTTGTAAGAGAAAATGGCTAAGATTTTCCAGAATTGAAAAAAAAAAAAAATCACCTAAGGCATCCTAAGACTTAAGGAGCATCCCAAGATCCATTGAGGACAAACAAAAACAAATTCATGTCTAAAAGAATCATTGTAATAAAACTTCAGAAAATCAAAAACAAGCAAAATTCTTATAAGCTACCTGAGACTAAAAGACATATTCTCACAAAGGAATTCAATTGACAAAAGACTTTCAGTCAACAATAAGAGCTAATATTTTTGAGTGGTTGCTGTGGGCTGGGCAGTATTTTAAGTATCTTTCATTTAATGTTCGTAACAATCTGATGGGGAAAAAATACCCTTACTATCCCCACTGCACAGATGAATACAGAACAATGAATTAAAGACAATGGAATAATATATTCAAAGTGGTGCGGTATAAACAATTCAATCTGTAATTCTGTCTCTTACTACACCTTCTTCAAGAGTGGAGCTTGAAGGTTGTTTCTTTCTTGACATACATTTAATAATCCATAAACATTTGAAAGCTGAATAATAATACAAAAAAATGTGTTAACTATAACCATCCCAGAACTGTCATACTGGGGTAAGTTCTTCAGAGTTATATATATGGGTGTTGTGTGTGTGCAGAGGCAAGGCAGCAACTGGTGGTGAAGATATATTTTTAAACAAATCTTTGTTTTTTCACTGCTCGACCAGATTGGTTTAAAGAAGTTATGCATTAAAATATTTGGATTAAAGTAGAACAGTGTGTCCTCTCCAAATATCCTATAGCACAAAAGATGGTCTTCTATATGAGTAAAAAGAGAGCCTTTTAAGTATTTGAAACCAAAGGAATCCAGTACAAAGGACTCAGATGATAGAATAACTAGGGAATTGATCAGTACTATGAAGCAACTCTGCATTTAGCAAAAGTAAGAGAGCCATTATCAGCCTAGGGCTGGAGCGAGAAAAGTAGGAAGTGGGTGTATCACAGCTCAGGGTCCCTGGTGGGCCTTTCTGATGAGAACTGCGACCATGGAAGGAGTGAACAATCTTCCAGGAATTGGAGCCACACAGGTATTGCAGCCATCACTGGGGCTGCCACCTGAACCAGAGCAGGGGGTAGGTATTTTGACTTTTTCCCTTCTGGTTCTCCAGGCTTCCACATAGAGCCTTGCATTAGCTAAATCCATCTAAAAGCTGAAAGCAAGACAACATGGGAAATTCAGTATCTTCCAACACACAACCAAGGAGAGAAGGGCAGAGAATGAATGGATCTGAGAGCAAAAGTCAAGGGATGGATTCAGCTCACCCAAGCTGATGAATTCAGGTTAAGTTGCTGCAGTGACTTTCAGCATAAGGGCAGATGAAGTGGCAGGCCTCCTTGGTGTCTGCAGTGTTCTCTCACTCTGCCATCTGCCTGAGTCCCTCCACTTCAGCTGGCTTATCAATGCTGGCTTGAAAATGGCATGTGCATTTTGTATGTGAATGACTAAATAGACTCCTCTTTCAGGCAGAGGCATTGTTTCCTTCCAATCAGAGTCCTGTTCTACAAGCTAAAGGGAAATTCATTTAAGACCATCCATATACTGAGCTTTGTGTAATGCATATTATCCTCTCAACCCCGCTATGCCTAGAAGCTAATAGCGGAACGTGAAAGTAGCTTTCTGGGTTGGAATGGTTTTTCTCATTTGTATTCTAGTAACTCATTGAGGCAGACATCAAAACCTCCTCTTATTTTGCTCAAGAAAATTTACAGTTCACATGACTGTTCTGCTTCAAAGAAATGAGAAATCATCAAAATACAAATTGCCTGAACTATCAAGGCAGCAGCTCAGAAAACCTAGCAGAAGGAAGAGAAATGAGGGCACATTTGAAACAGAAATGAAAAGGGTTTTTGCCATGGCTGTCTTCAACGAATGCCTCCAAAGCACAGGTAGAAAGAATTTTGAGAATTACTTACTTCACAGAAATTTCATCCTTTCTGAAATTCCATTTTTGAGTAAGTGAACCAGAAAAGATGTCAATGTTAAAAGTCTGTTTTCACTTGGACCTGATGAATAGAAACTATAACATGATTTTTCTGGGATCAGAGTTAAGCAATAACTAGCAGTCATCTTCATCTACCCGCAAAAGAAAAGCCTTTGAGCGAAGAATATCCAACAAATCAAACAAAAAGTGTGACTTTTTATTTAAAAGATGCTGGCTATAGTTTAAGTAAACTGTTTTTTCCTGTTGTTCATCTTTTGATAGAGGTGAATCGTTTAATGAAATATCACTATTATTTCTGGTGGGCGTTTTGAGTGCTAGAAAATATGCTATTTTTGGTGGTGATATGGTTAATTGTTAACTGATCTGTCCAAAACTGAGGTAGATTTTACAAACTGTCCCAGTTTTTAAAAACTTTAGTGCTATCATTAGGCATTATTTTTACTTTTGAACTGCCTGTGTTTATAAATTCTCTATTCAATGTTCAATGTATAGAGTTATTATCACTTGATCACTTATGTAAGAAAGCTTTGTTTAGTGTGTGTCTCTGTGTGCTTGTGTGTGTACTTCATAAAGAACATTAGCACCCTCTTCTGGATGACTTTTGAGGCTATAAAAATATTCCTACAATCTTTTTTCATTTCTTAACAATGAACAGCTTGAATATTCATTAAATTTGCTCCTGATTAAAGCACAACCCCTAAGTAATTTAATTATACTGTATATTTCAGAAACACTGATAAGTGCTAGCGTCAAAAGACATTTCATTGCTAAACATTACTCACTAGGAATAAGTGCTGGCTTATGAAAAGGGAAAAAAAATGCTGCTTCTACATTTCTCAGAATGAGTATTTGCAATGATTTAAATATACAGAGCTATGCAAGGAAGAAGGAAACACAAGGACAGACAAGGAGAGCAGACTCGTACATTCTTCTCGCAGCTGTCAGGGCTTGAAGAAAAAAGGACGCCCTCCTGTGCTTTAATACCAGCCACTGACACAATTAAATTTTCTTTTATTGTACTGGATTTCTTAAAAGACAATCAGACACCTTTTAAGTTAGACTTCCTGGAGTCCCCCAACTTCTCTTGAAAGACATTGTATGAGGCTGATGATAGAGATGTATTCTGAACTTGTTTGACTCATTCATTCATTCACTCACTCATTCATGCTACAAATATTCTGTGAGCATCTCCTCCTAGAAGGCACTCCTCCAGGCACTGGAGATGCAGGGAACAGAT